GCAATATTTCTACATTTGAGAAACTATTTGTGAAGACCAAACTACAAAGCTATGTGGGTGTTTGGTTATAGGTGTTTCTCGCATCTTCGAGCTTTTCAACCACACAAGCTGATCCCACGGTCTCAAGTTCTCACGTTTTTGGGATATAACTTTCACAATCGAGGGTTTCAGTGCCTTAACCCAAATGGACGCATCTTTATTAGTAGGCACGTTAAATTTGATAAGCTTGTCTTTTCTTTTGTAGATAAAAAGCAGTTTATATATCATCGTACTCTGCTCTCTTCATAGAAGGTTGTTGTTTCGGGTGATGTTGATTATGGTTCTACGACTGCAGGTTCTGGTTTAGGCAATAAAGTTGGTCTTCCTGCTATGTCCGCTGATGTCCCCTCTCGAAGTGTTGCTCCAATCACTAGTGATGCTAATAGTAATAGAGCTAATCAACCTCTTGTTGAAGAGTTTAATGGTAATAATAATTGACCTGTCATTAATACTCATCCCATGATTACCAGAAGTAAGTGTGGTATATTGTTGAAGCGTCTTGTTGCAGAGGGTTTTTCGCAAGTGACCGGTTAAGATTTCAAAGAAAATTTTAGCCCGTTGGTCAATTTTTTGACCTTGAATATTGTTTTATCCCTTACTGTCATGAACAAATGGTCTATGCGACATGTGGATGTTAAGAACGTTTTCTTATATGGTGATTTAAATGATGACGTTTTCATGCAGCAACCACTTGGGTTCGAACAATTTGCTGTGAATGGCACCAAGCTCATCTGTAAGCTACAAAAATCTCTTTACGGGCTGTGTCAAGCGCTAAGAAATTGACATACCATGCTGAAGGATAGCCTCGTACAAATGGGGTTTCGTGCATCGAAGGATGATGCATCGTTTTTTATTTCTCATGCTCAAGGGGTGTATACATATGTTCTTATCTATGTAGATGACATTGTTGTTACGGGGCAGTCGGTTGTTACAATTGAACAAGTTTGTTTGCTTCGTGATATTTTTTCGTTGAAGGATCTCGGTGGTTTACACTATTTTTTAGGAATTGAGGTTCAATTTTGTGATGATTCTTTGGTTCTAACTCAGAAGAAATTATTTTAAGTTGTTGGAGAAGACATGCATGTCAAAGGCTACACCGACCACCACTCCTATGATTATCAATAACAAGCTCAGTCGTTATGAAGGAAAACTGCTAGAAAATGCTGGAGAATTTTGAAGCATGGTCGGAGTGTTGTTGTATGTCTTCCACACGAGACCAAATATCGTATGCAGTGTGAGCAAAGTAGCTCAATTCATGCATGAGCCACATGAATATCATTTGTTGGTTGTCAAACAAATCTTGCGATACCTGGTTGGAACTCCGGAGTATGGGTTAGTTTTTTCGCCATCTAAGGCGGTGCTACGTGTGGTGGCTTTTGCTGATGCCGATTGGTATGGTTATGTTGATGATCGAAGGTCCATGTCAGGCCATTGTGTGTTGGTTGGTGATAATATGGTGTCGTGGAATGCAAAGAAGCATAAAGTTGTCTCGAGGTCAACCATGGAGGCGGAATATCGTAGCTTAGTTGATGCTGCTGCAGAAGTTGCTTGGGTTGATGTACTGTTGACCAATATTAGAGTGGTTCGATATGAGTAGCCTATCATCTGGTGCGATAATGCCAGTGCAATTGCGTTGATTGCAAATCCAGTTCATCATGCTTAGTCCAAGCATGTGAACTTAGATGTTCATTTTGTGAGGGAAAAAATGATGTAAATTAATCATGTGTTAGTTATGTCCCTGTTGCTCATCAAGTTGCATATGGGCTAATGAAATCATTGTCCAAAATAGCTTTTACAATGTTTCGTGAAAGGGTGAACATTTATTTGCTGAAGAAAAGAAAAGAAGAAACAGGGAGAATGTTGAAAGATAGCGTGCATGGTGTGTGCTAAGGCTCATGTGCATAGTGTGCACTCTGATGTATGTGGGATAAGCCTAGGGTTGTTAAGATGTTAGTTCAGCTGTTAGGCTGTTAGATCTTATAGTTTCAGTACTTGAGTGCTATAAAAGTGATGTATTGTAGCTTTATGAATCATAGAAAAATATGTAATAGTTTTTCAACATTTCTTGGGTTCTTTAACAAGATAAAATAAAATTATCGGTTTTCATTGATATACCTTAAGGAATATTAGATTTAAGGAAATATATTTAAGAGTTTTTGCCTTGTTCATCGGTTTTATCTCATCCGATATAGTTTAAAAAAAGGCAAGATCGATGTCGATTGAAACAACAAAGAAAAATAAATAATAAATAAAAAAGAATTAACTTTAAACAAAAACTCACTTTTATTGCTTTTGTTCTTTGAATTATATTGGGTGATTCTTTTACCTTCTCTTCCTCCATTTCTTTTCTATTTTTTTCTCATTCCCATTACAAAATAAGAGGCTTTTTTATATGCTCCCAAAAACCCTAAAAAGTAAAAAAAAACTAAATTATTTTCATTAATACTAGATATCCTAATCGAAAGAAAAGTAATTCTAAAATAATAAAAAGATCCTAAATTACCCTAAATAAACTATGAAAGTATAAAGCTGGATTTAATTACAAATATTCAATAAAATAATTAAAAATTTGTAATAAATTTAAATCCTCGTATTGGGCTCGTTTCTAATTTTCTGCAAGTGTTGTCTTCACTAAAATAAGCATATATTGAGTTTTCGATATCCGATTGATACGTTTCAAAATGTGTTGGAAAGATAACTGAAAGAAGGTTTAGTTTCAAGAAGATATCATGCCTTAAAAATATATGGATATTGTCCAAAAAATCATTCCAAGTTGACTGATGTATTGGGCTTCAAAATCAACTTTAATAAAAATATTTCGGCTTTGGAAAAAAATTATACCGGATAAAAATCAAGGACTACACTTTGCTATGAAAAAGAGTTTATCATAAGGGAGGATAAGAAAGTTAAACTCACTCTATCATCCTTGACTTGGGTATTTATAATAACTCTAGCTAGTGATGTCAGGTATATAATAATTATGACTAATTGTAGACGAATAAGCTAAATAGATCTGACAATTAGATCTTAGATTTTGCCCTGATAAGTCACATGGATCTGCCAGAGGTTTTGCATATGTACTATAGTTAACTCAGAGGTCTTTGTTCGGAGGATGCAGACTCTTTGGAAGCTCCGATGAGCAGAGAGATATGTCTGAGAGTCTCTATTAACTGAGAGTTGACAATTTCGAATGTCATCTCCAGAGGTATAACAATATGATTTATTAGGAATAAAATTTGTCGGACGGATAGAATTTTCTGAAAATGTTGAAAATGGACTAATTAAGTAATTAATTATTTTGGGGTGGTTTACCGAATCGTGGTGGAAGCTCTCTCTCTTTTAAATGAAAACGAAAGCATTTATTTTAGGTTTAATGCAAAAATAAGTGTTTAAACTATATTCTAAGTTAACTTTAGGTGTCTAAAGAATTTTTCGTTAAAAATAAGTGTTTAAGGTTTTCTCCGTTGCACTTTTAGATGCATAACGTTTTCTGTGTTATACTTTTAGGTGCTTACACAATAACGACCGTAAAAAAATCGTTAAGTGACACATGTAATGTTTATATTTGGCTTAGTGTAAAAATAAGTGTCAAACTATACCCTTAGTTAACTTTAGGTGCCTAAATAATTTTTCGCTAAAAATAAGTGTCAAACATTTCTGATATTATACTTTTAGGTGCATAGCTGTAACGAGCGTTAAAAATCGTTAAGTGACATCTGTCATGTTTATATATTTTTTTAAAATCTTTATTTTAAAAAAAATATTATTATTTAATTTAAAGAATTATTTTTTTAAATTACAAAAAAAATCCTACAATCCTAAAATCTCTTATTTCAACCTCATTATCAACTGTCATTGACCATAACCAACTATCTTCGCCATCGTCGAACGACCATTCACCCATTATTAGACCTCCACTATCGATCATTCCTCTTGTTGTCAGCCCAATCCCCTTAAACCCTTAAACCTAATACTCAAATCCCTAACCTAATTTCAAATTTATTATTCTCTTCCTAAATTAACTTTAGGGATTTATGGAGACGTTGGAGGAGATTTTGAATGCAACTGGAGAAGAAGAAAATTCTTTGCACAAGCAAGGGAATTGCACAAGCGAGAAGGGAGAAATTTTCCCTTAAAATTTTAAATAATATTTTAATTTTTTTAAATTAATATTTAAAAAATATATATAAACACGACACATGTTAGATAATGATAGAATTTAACGATCATTACAACCTATGCACCCAAAAGTGTAACGTTAGACACTTATTCTTAGTAAAAAAAATAGACACTTAAAGTTAATTTAGGTATAGTTTAGACACTTATTTTTGCATTAACCCAAAATATAAACATGACACGTGTTATTAATGATTTTTTTAACGGCCGTGACTGTGTAAGCACATAAAAGTGTAACAGAAAAATGTTAGATACTTAAAATGTAACAGAGAAAACATTAAAAACCTAATTTTAACAATTTTTTTAAACATATAAAATTAAATTAGGAATTGATGAAGTGTTTATTTTATTATATTTGTGTGGGGTTGATGGTGCTAGGAAACAAAGACACTAGAAGTCGAATTGAAAAGTAAAATTATTTTTCAGATCATATATTTTTTACTCTAAATTCAAACCCGAACTTATTTCTAAAAAAAATCTGATCCGATTTCAATTTATTTTTTAAAAAATTTGACCCGATTGAGTCGGATCGTGTCGAAACTCATCGGGTTCGATTTCTGTGCCCATCTCTACTTCCCTCTTAATTCCCTCTAAATAACTAAATAAGATTAAGATTAGAATTAAAATTTATATAAAAAAACATACGCTTTTCTAATCAGCCAAAATAAGAAATTAACTATTTATTGACAACATATCAACTTATGAAAGGAATGAAAATACATTCCAAAAAAAGCACAAAGTATAAGACGGTAATGATAAAAAAAACACACACACACACACAAATTAAAGGAAATTTGCACTCTCCATCGAACAGTAACATTCAGCATTATACAACGAAGTAGACAAAATTACTGGTTACCATACTTTGTAAAGGGGCATCTATATTTCATCTGTAGGTGAACCTACAGATGGTGGTGGTGGTGGTGGTAATGGTGTAGATTAATCTACAGATGGTGGTGCTGATGGTGGTGGTATAGATGAATCAACAAATGGCGATGATGGTGGTGGAGGTGGTAATGGTGATGATGACAATGACAGATTCAACAGAAACCCAACCAGTATCCCTATCAGTCCCACAACAAACGCAAACATTAAGGAGAAGCCGGAGTCATTCCTACGTTGTCGTCGTCTCTTCAGAAAATCCTGTTTCAGCAAAATGGGGGTGTTTACTTATTGGTCACGGCAGTAGTGAATTGTAATGGTGTACTTCTGCCATTTTTTTTTCGGGCTCCGATTAAACTGTTAGGCTGAAGGTTTTTACGTGGATGAAAAAAGTTTTACTGGTTTGAGTGGCAAGTCTGAAGTAAAATCATACCAGTTCTTGTTGCAGCTGCAGTGTTTGCCGAACAGCTGTATCTCTTTCATCCTTCAGGTGCCGCACAGTCTGGTTCATGAATGCAGAAAGCAAATGTAAAAAGATATAAAGATCAGATTTCGGGTTTTCATTTTTCAAGTTACCTTCACCACCAAACAAATAAATAAAAGGGCAAGCATATAACAACAAATTACACAAATGCAAGTAACATAATGATTTGCAATAGCTAGCTTAACATTATATGAAAGCAAAATGAACAAGGTACTTAATCCATTATAACTCCATTATAACCAGGTTGTAGTATAAACATGGCTACAAGTAGGGGTGAGTACAACTCGACTCGTATTTTGATAAACTTGAATAACTCGACTTGAAAAAATTTCAAATAAAGTTTGAGTTATAAAATAAGACTTGAATAACTCAAAAAATTTAGTGATTAGTGGATTGATTTTCAACTTCTCTACATGATATATGTATATTGTATATGAAAAAATATAAAGCAATATATATGTATATCATATATGAAGAAATATACATGATATATCGACTAGAATTTCACAAACTCGACTTGACTAGAAATTTTTTTAAAGAAATTTGAGTTATAAAGTAAGACTCGTCAACTTGACTAACTCGAATTTTTTTTACTTTACTCGACTCTATCGAATACTCACCCCTAGCTACAAGGAACTCAAATTAGCTCATGTAAACCAGACAAAAATAGTGCCAAGTGCCTACTTATTTTAAACAACCAATTCCGGATCAAACAAAACCAGACTTTGAACATAATTGATATCACAAACGCATTTAAAACAGAGGTTAGAAGGAGAGCTTTGAGTTGCCTATATCAGTACTGATTTCTATGCCTCTACCGTCAGATCAACCCAATTGAACCTTTACTGAAAACCTCAAATTGTGCATAGACCACGCACGTATATATTCCATAAAACAAAACAAAAATAATAAATAACCAGATCATTGACTAGACTCACAGAGTTCGAATCAGCGCTTTGTTCTGGGTAGCTCTTGAATCCTTCATCTTCTGAATTTCCTCGAGAGGAAGGATTTACATAAAAAACTTTAAGCTTGCACTCCTGTATCTCCCTAGTGCTTTCCTTATTAAACTGAATGCAAAGACAAGGATGCCAATCCAAATATCGTATTGAACTATGAATAACATCATAAATGAAAAACATTATTCTCAATGTCGGTATTCTTACAGTATCCGCCGGGAGGTCATCCACATCAGTATTTGGAGGCACTACAGTACTCTGTAACAGAAATTTGTCTTTGCATTGCATATCTGGAGGATATTCCCGTTGAGCTTGGAGAGTGACTGACGTTCAAGCATATCAACGAAAATCAGTTTAATACATATAAGAATCTCGAAGAACCATCCAAGAAAATCAATGGATGGAAGCAGATTGTGAAACTTTTAATCGATGAGATGGTTTAGGACAGAACCGATTAGTAATAATACCTCTAATGACAGATGAATCCAGAGGCTGTACAACACCGGTATTTGGTCGTACAAAGTACTTCTTAGGTGAAGTTGTTTTAACCTAACATGATAATGAGTTGGGATAACTAAAATCATACAAACAAAAGAAAACCCTAGAATGGACAGAGAATACACACAAGTATTCAGATGCATTTGCAATGGTAACAGAAACTTTGTGTACCTTAAACGCCACATGGTGATCTGTGTTGTTCACCACTTTAAGATCACAAAAGCTTGGCTTTTCAAGCTCAACTGAAAACAGATAAGCATGACCAAAAGGTAACTAAACCTTAAACTTGTTCCACAACATTTTTCAAGAATCAAACAATATACTGTACATGAAGACAACGATCACAAAGGCATTAAACTCTCAAGCATTTCAAATAAACCAGCATCTAAAGACAAAGTTGAAGGTAGCCAAACATTGACAAAATGTTAAAAAAGATTAAAAACTAATAAATAACCTGCTTTTCTTTCCTAGCATTTTCTAAGAAACACCATGTAAACCTTCACAAATTAAATTAATGGTGCCTCTGGTTGTAAGAGAAGCCGAATTGGTATGTGCTAGAATCCGAAAAACATCGTCAATCTTTGAGATCAAGGGAATGATGTAAATAAACTAATTAAAATTTAAACAAATCAACATATAAGTCACTAGAATCTCCACAAATCTAATACCATAAAATTGTCAAACAAACAATCACCTTCACTGCATTCCATCCCTATCAATCATCACCTGAAATTCAACACAACATTGATCCATCGCACCCATATTTTCCGATTTACAAGTTGACCGCATAACTATAAAATTGATAATGAACTTTCACATACATCCAATGGGACTCTACATTTACAGTTTCATGAATGTATACATTACATGCATAAGAATTACATGCATCCATTCAAGAATTTACTTACAAGCGAACTTGAGGCCATTGGGTTGGACAGAGATCAACTGACTATTCCCATCAGCAGTCATGACTGGGTCCACCAACCTCCCCCGCCAACACTATATCTTTACGCTCTTAAAAAAAGTGGATAAATAAATCAAAATCACTAGCAATAATCTTTCAAAACCTAAGAGGAGGAAGAAAAGAATGAATGACAAATCAACAAAAAGAACCCAAAAACGTAGAAAAAAGAAATTATCTAACAAAGGTTTGAAGAGAGAGAGAGGAATTGAGTAAATATTAATGAGCGGAACTAACATGTGGTGCAAAATGCAACTGGCTCGGTCTAAATCCGAGGTTTCGTCTTTCGATTTCCCTTTTCCTTTCGGGTGTGGTAAACGGAATCACCGATATAGACGCCACCGAAATCGGAGTTTTTCAAGTTCAAATAAGATTTTAATTGTTTTCTTCTTTTTTAAATTTTTAGAAGAAAAATACATTAAAAAATGGTAGGGGAAGTTGTTCGGAGGTTTTGTACACCATGAGAATGGCAGACGCAGGTGTGTGGTTTCTATGAGAAAGAAAAGATTCAGGAGGAAGAAGGGTTGGAGACACGTGTCACTTTAATAGGGTTCTGTTGTAACAGCCTGGACGTGGGATTCATTGACGTGGCACCCACATTAAATCGAACCTCTTATGTGTCACTTTAACATTTAGAAGTTCTTTTTTGGGCAAAGTACACGATGCTACTTCGATTATAGACTATTATTCTATTAGATCTCTTAATTATTAAAACTTATAAAATAATCATTTAATTATAAAAAAAATACTTTATTAAGTCACGATTATTGAAAATTACAAAGGGATAGACTTCGTGTGGATGAGAGATGGAACACTAATTTACTTTCGGTGAAAAGAAAAGGTGAAGCCAAATTGCCTTTGCCTACGGGAGGAAATTCGTTGAAGTGCACTAAAATTATAATGCGTTTTTTAGTGGGTCAAAAAGGATAATATTCCAAAGCATGACATAGAAAAATCAAAAACTAACATGAATGTATGAATATATAGACATTATATAATACAAATTATTAATGAACCAAGATTTAAATAAATATAAAATACCTCAAATACTATTATGATACGAGAGATGAATAAAATTTATTGAGTGGTTTTTAGAATGTTTTTATAATATTATGATATTAATTGTGAAAAAGAAAAAATGAATCTTTAACATTATATCATCAACTTAATAATGTGACGGTAATGAATAAGTATTTGTTGTTTTGGATTGATAAGTTTTTCGATAAATTAAAGGGTGCATAAGTGTTTTTTCAAGATTGATTTGCGATTGAAATACCATCAACTAAAAGTTAATGATGAAGATATTTCAAATGTTTTATTTCAAACACGTTATAGATATTGAAAGTTATTAACCATGCATTTTGGATTGACTAATACTTCGGTAGTATTCATGAATCCTATCAACTAAGTATTTCATTTATATCTTGATCAGTTCTGTAACATCCCAAAACAAGAGCAAGTGACTAAAATGGAAGTTTTGAAAATTTGAAGTCTGATTTTGAAATATTTGAAAGATTTTTTTAATTGTTCAGTAAATAACTGATGGAATAAGGGGTATAATGGTCATTTGGCAAAGAAAGATTTTTATTTTCCCTTATAAAAGAAGTAGACATGTGGAGAGGAGAAGAAAAATAAGAAGACTCTATAGATGCTTGGCTTTCTTCTTCCTTTCTTCCCGTGGCTCCATTGGTAAGGTAAGATTATGTCAAGTGATTGTTTCCTTTCAATTTGAAGTTGGGTTTAATTCTTGAGATGATAATTAAGCTTAAGGAAAGCTTAATTTGTCTTAAAACCATAAGATGAAGGAGTTAAGAGAGATTAAAGATTAGAAGTTTTTAAATGAAATTTTGGAAAAGAGTTGATAAGTAGAATTTGAAGTTAAATTTGACTTGTCAAAGGGTTAATTAAGAAGTTAGAGGTGATAGAATTGAATTAAGAACACATGTAAAATTTGATGAAATTCATTTATTCAAGAATTATGGTGAATTATGAGAGATGGTGAAGTGTTATAGTGTTATAAGAAGGTTTACATATGTATAGATAAGTTTTAAGGTATAAGGAGGGGTTAATAAGTAGAATTTGAGGACAAAGTAAGACATTTTCGTGCTCAAAATGGAATTTAAGACATTTTCGTGCTCAAAATGGAATTTATGGGTTGTGTGCATCGATGCATCTTCAATGTGTATCGATGCACTCTCAAATAAATAAACATTGAATGCAATTAGTGCATTGATGCATAAGGAGTGCATCGATGCACCCCCTTAAAATGAAAACATCGAATGTAATTTGTGTACCGATTCATGGATAGTGCATCGATGCACATGTTAAGGAATGCATCGATGCACTGTAGAATGTACTGATGCACTTCAAGGGGAAATAGAATTAGACCTTTCTTTAGGTCTAAGAAATTATAGATTAGAATACATCAATTGGTTAATGATATGTATCAATGTATGATTATGTAGATATCGATCATGAATAATTTCCGGGATGACTATCAGGTTAAGATTCGATCGAAAGAAAGGAATTATAAAAGGGGATTGAAACTTAGTGAGGCCAAGGTGAGTGCATACTATTGGAATATATGTATTTCTACATGGGAATTAGACTTGTGATAAGTTGTTCCCTGATATTTTGAATATATAATAGCATGAGTCGAAGCATGATTAGGATTGTGTACTATGTGAATGTGTCATGTTTGCATTACATGTTATGTGTTGTGCATTTATGTGTTATATGATAATGATTTAGGAAACAATATAGGAATATTATTTGAGTTACTTAATAATAAATCATAAGATTGCATGCATATGTAATATAAGTTATAAGATGGGAAAATATGTATTTTATATGTATATGAGAAGATATAAAAACAAGAAACAAGTCAACTGATAAAGGAATCTGAAATTGTATGAAACATGACATAAGCTATGTGATTAAATGAGAAATGATATGAGCACATGTATATGTGATTATGAATGACAAGAATATGAGAAAAGGTATATGTGACATGTTAATTATATGGAAGTGAACTACGTGACTATGTGATCATATGAAATGTGATAAGAAGCTATGTGCCTATGTGATAAGAATATGTGAAATGATATAAAGATAATGCCCATGTTATGTGTTATGAGATTTAAAGATATAGTTGGCATGCCAAGAGTTGAGGGATTATCAGTGGTCCTTCGGAACATAGTGGTACTTCGGGACATAGTGGTCCTACGAGACAAATTTTACACGCCCCTAGTGGGATTTTTACGAGTTGTGGTGACAACATAGTGCACAACCTCTATGTACTCACGTATATTTAGCTCTCAGAAATATTCATGGGCTAAACAAAGATATAACAATAAATATATTCCATGTGAAGAATATGCTTTTGTGATATATGATGATATTTGTATTGTTTGTTTATGAGTCATATATGTTGATTAAAAAGGTTAGGACAAGAGGATATGATTAACATATATAAATATTAATAATATGGATAGTGATATAAGATTAATGAAGTAAATGATGAGTGATTTGTATCTGTGTACATTTAATTATACGTAATGTTATATTGTTTTGTGTGATAACATGGTATGATATGTTCATGCATGGTTAAAAAGTTAGAGTTTCTCTTATAAGTTTAATGTCTCACTAAGTCATAGACTTAGCGTGTGAATGTTTTACACATAGGTTTGAGAAGCGAGAATGGAAGTAGCGATGAGCAAGACAAGTCAATATCTTCCTTACGAGGATCAGATCAGAAACATATTGAACATATGTATTTTGTTTATAGAGTTTAGTTGGCATGTAGTTACAAGATTTGAATTGAATATGCTCTGATCGTTTTAAAGAAACAATTTGATTGTATATATTAATGTAAAGTACTCATTTTCTTAAATGATGAATTTAAGATTTTACGGAATTGTAAAGAACAGAGTTTTGAAAAGCTAATGTGACACCTCAGACTCGGATCTGGGTCGGATACGGGTTGGGGGTGTTATAAGTTCATGGTTATCTTTATTAGTGACATTTTAGTATATTAGTAAACTAAAAATATCGTAATTATCACCTTTGGGTTATGTTAGAATTCTTCATGGTAAGAAGGTTTTGCTAAACTTTTTGAGTGTAAATTTTGGTTGAGTGTACGTTTTTAGGCCATGTGACTCTGGCTGAAGGGATTCGTATGAATCCAAAAAATATCAAAGCAATTGTGGAGGAAAGGCTCCAGGAATGTATCTAAAGTTTGAATATTTTAGGACTTGTCGATTATTATTTAGATTTGTAAAAGGAATTTTTAAGATTGCATTGTCAATTACCAAGTTATTCCTTTTTATTTGGATTGAGAAATGTCAAGAAAATTTTGAGGAATTGAAGAGAATTTTGATTGAGGCTCCGGTTATTCGAGTTTAGGAAATACTTTGTACAGTGATATTTCTCTTAATGGATTAGGAAAAGTGTTGAAGTAAGATTTAGCAAAATTACTTGTATAGATAGAGGTGTTATATCTTTACGGATTATAAAAACTTAAAGTATATATTGTCACAGAAAAAATTCAATTACTAAAAGAGGGACAAGATCCTAATAGAGTATGATTTTTCTGATTGACTATTATCCTATAAAAACTAATGTGGTAGCTGACAATCTTAGTTGGAAGACCTTCAATACTTTAAGAACATTGAACATGTAGTTTTCTTTAAAGGGTGATGGTGTTTTGATAGTAACTGCAAATTAAGCTTATTTTGTTAGGTCGGATTAAGAAATTATTAATAAGAAATTAAATTGATAAAAAAAATTAGGTAACTTGAAAGAAAAAATTACGAAAACGTATGGTTCAATAAGATAAATATGGAAAAATACTTCCAATAGGTTGTATTTGATCAAAGTGGTAAAAGTGAATGTTGTTATTGTTAAAGGATCTGAATCTGAACAATTTCTTTACCCACTTTCTTCATTATGAACTGTGACAATGATGTTCACCGTGTATGTATCTTCCTCAAATGAAGGAATAACAATGACAAACTCATCCAACATCAATCGAAGCTAATACGAAATAAGCGCAGGCTTATTCCCATCATCAAAACTAACTCCGTTAGCCCCTAAATCATCCCATTTACCATGATTGAACTCCTTGTTTGGTTTTATCTCTGGTTTCAAAACCCCTTTCTTTGAGCAGCTTTTAACTTTGATGGCCCCAAAGGATTCATTCACAAACAAAGAAAACTCACCACCCATAATACTTGTTAGGTTGTTCTCTTCTTCTTCGAGACAAGCTAACGCCATTTTTCTGCACCATTCACTCCCCAGACTTTGGGCTTGGGCCTTGATGTTGAAGATCATGGTTTCGGCTAAGTTTTTGCTTGAACTTAAGGTGATCATG